GAGAGTCTGGGAAGTCCGCGGCAGACTAAAAGGTGGGGGAGCACTTTCCCCAGGGAAAGGGACGAGCAATCGGCCAGTGGGATGTGGCTGCAGGTCTCAACGAATAGAGTAAACTCTGTAACCTCCTTGTCAGACGCTTCCATCCATCCCTGCTCCAGCGATCTGAGATGACAAGGTTGACAGAGGGGAGGTCGTACTCAGATAGCAAGGACAGGAGTCTGGGAAGGATGCCACCAGAGGGAGGGGAGTTGAGCAGGGAGAGGAGCAGTTGGTGAGGAAGAGAGTCAGGAGGAAGAGACGAAAAAGAGTGGAGAAAGTTGAGTTGGGGGTGATGTATCATGCTCCTGATGCTGAGAGTGCCAAGGGTAAGGAGAAGAGCCTTGGAATTGCAGCGTACAGGGAGGCAAGTTATAGTTCTCAAGATCTTTCGGTGCACGCGCTCGAGCATCAGCAGTTCGGTTTGGGTTATGCACAACAGCTCACAGCCATAGAGAAGGACAGGAAGGCAGAAGGTTTTATATAGGCGGAGGATGGTTACAGGGTGCAAGCAGCCAAATCTTGAACCAATCGCGTTAAGACCGAAAAATGCGCTCCTGCCAGCACTAAAACGTTCTGATGTTCTGGTGAAAGAAGATGGGGAAACAGAGCGCAGAACTCCCAGATGGTGTTCACAGTCCTTCTCTGGGATTGTGTCTCCAGAGACTGTCCACCTCCTCGATGGTCGGTTCCGAGAGCATGAGACTGAAGATTCTCCAATTACCAGGACTGATGACTTGGAAGCGTTCAGGGAGAACCTCCATTGCATGGCGTAAGCGGAAACGATGTCCAGCATGTGTTGAAGAACATGGCTTGAATCGCTGATCAGTACAATGTCGTCTGTGTACATGGGGGAGCCAAAGTAGAGACCGTTGATGGTGACGCCAAAGCCAGAGGAGGACAGGAGGAGGAGGAGGTCGTTCACGAAAACACAGTAAAGAAGTGGTGAGAGCACTGCTCCCTGGCGGACTCCCTGATGAATTGTGAAGGGGCGAGATGTCTGGGAGTTCCACAGAACTGACGAGGTGCACTGCCGAAACCAGCTATGAATGATGATCCAGATGTATCTTCGCATAATAAGCTGAAGGAGCTTCAGGAGGAGGCCATTCTGCCAGACAGTGTCAAATGCCTTCTTCACATCAAGAAAAGCCAGGAATGCCTTTTTCTTCTGGTTGCGGAGGTGCTGAATCGCCTCTTGTAGGATGAGAGCGGTGTGCATGCAACTAATCTTGGGCCTGAACCCGCCTTGCAGAGGATGGATTTGAGCTGCGAGCAGAGACAGTCGGTTTAGGATGAGCTTTTCGAACACTTTGCTGATGGTGGAGAGAAGTGTGATACCACGAAAGTTAGAGGGGTTTGAGAGATCTGACCCCCTCTTCTTAGGGATGGGAACAATAAGGCCGTGTTGAAAGGAGGATGGAACGTGGCCATATCCCTCCCATAGATAATCCTGACCCTCAAGAATTTTCTTGTAAGCCTCCCTTCTTTGCTCTATCTTCTGCTTAATATGGTCATCCCACCACCTGACTGCCCTGCCACACACTACTACCTTCTCTCCTACCTCAGGCTTTGCCACCTTCTTTACAACTTGCTCCCACTCCTCTACAACTGCACTGACTAACCCGCTTCCACTAATACCCTCACTCACTTTCTCCCTGAAAATGATTCAACCTCCGTTTTCAAGGCCTCACTATACTTCGCTCTAACCCCCTCATCCAAAAATCTGTCTACACGCCACTTCCTTATTCTCCGCTTCTGCTTTTTACAACAGTTTGTAACCCGGCCAAACTCCAGCCACACTAGAAAATGATCCAAGGCACCAATATCAGTTATGTTAACCTGTACATCAAAAGATTCCCTCATCAACTGCACATCCATAACTATCACTGCAGGCTCGGCCTTACTCTAGTCCACTCAGGCTCCGACACTAACTTCCCACCATTACATATCACCAGCTCCACCTCATTCAAGAATGAAATCAGGCTATTTCCACTGGAATTACAAGTCTCCTCCCCAAACATCTCAATGACATCATCAACATCAGTAGATCTACCCACCCTCGCATTAAAATCACCAGGAAGAACAACCCTCCCCTTCTGCATGAATCCTAGCACATCCTCCTTCAACTTGACGTAACTATCCTCAATGACAGAAGCACAAGCACTATCTGTAGGCATGTAAATGCAATGCTTCACTCCCTCTCCCGCCTCAAACCTTTATCCTCACGCTCTCCTCATACCTGACTTTACTTACAAACTCTACCTCGTCTATCAAGCACTCCCGAACCAAGAACCCAACCCCTTTTTCCCCTCTACGACTATTCTGATTCTCACAAGGCTTTCCATCTATAGCCATCAACCGCAACTGCCTTTCCCAAAATTCCTGACTAGCTACTACATCAATCTTGAGAAATAGTGTATGTCAAAAGCCAGGTAAGATACAGAAGTGAAACTTCGCACTAAGATTTGAAACAGTACATTAATTTGTTTGTAGACGACAATGTTGTTTCAAGTAAAAACAAAAGCCCATTGCTAATAAAGTATGATAACTACTTAATGCCAAGATTCAGAGAAGTAAAACCTGTGTGCACGTGCAACCCATTATTAGCATGTATATGTAAATTTAAAATCCTGCAAATTTAAAAAGATCATATAGGGATAGTATGGGAGACAAAATAGGGATGGGATACATACGTAAAGCATGGTTAACTAACAAATTCAAGCTCGCTGACACCCCCGACCCCTTCTCAGACACCCTTGCCTTAATCATTGTTTTAACGGTATTGGTTACTCAGTAGCGTATGCCCTGACATAATATTATAAAAGTGTATCCCATCCCTATCTTGTTTCCCTTTATTTGTATACCAACCCTACAACACCTCTTTTTTAAATTCGCAGGATTTTTAACTCACTTGTCTCCACACATATCTCTGTAAAACGGGAAGAGCGCCCATTTTACAAACATGATGTGAAACAATGTAATACGCATGCCTAACAAGTTTCATCTCCATGTGTGCGAGTTTGAGGAGTGAAGAAGTAATTTTTAAAACGTACCTGAGGCTATTTACCATATGTGGTCGTCATGGAAACAAATTACTGGCATATGTACGAAGTTTCATCTTCATACGTGCTACTGTTAACAAGTTACAAAGTAAGGTAAACATGCAGTCGCATTGGAAATGATGTGACACACATGCGTGTAAGTTTTATGTCAATGCATGGTACCGTTTGCAAGTTAGAGGAGTGTAGATTTAAAGAATATTGCCTGAGGCCATTTTTAAAACATGTATTGTTGTGTGTTTCATAGTACATTGCTGCGAACAAACTTTCATTAGCATAGCTTTTAGCATTGATGAGTTACACTAATACATGTGTCCCCTTTATAATGTATTGCCTGGGGCTAAACAAAATTGTTTATAAACCAAAAAAGTATGATAATGCACATTTGCAGAAAATTTCATGACCATGTTATTTCGTTTTTAGTTATGTGTGTTGAATAAAACTCAATATCATAGCCCCATACATCTATGATGCTAGGTATATACCATGCCCATCCCTACATACTAAGTACTAGTGTACCTAGTTATTAAAATGCATGTTGGTAAACAAAGACAAACAGCCTGAGACAATAAAAATAAAAGATTGTCAGTTTGAAAAGCTTTCTTATGTCGGGTCCTAACTTGGTTAACTCATGCACCATGATTGTAATTTACCCAAACGAATGACAAAAAAACTGCCTATGAAGGCAATAAGAAAGAGTTAGTGCCTATCACTTGCTAGTTTAGCCCGCACACCCTCTCTCTATCCAGCGGGGAACATGCGTAGGGAACGAACAGTGAAAGCATGAGCAGAGAGAGAGGAAAAGCAGAACATGATTGAATTTAATTACTGCGTTGGTTGGTTACTTAATTAACTGGGAGGACCTTGTATACCGCAGTAGAATAACATATTCAATTGGCTAGCCATCCGCACATGGAAAAAGGGTCTGCAAGCTAGACTAACAACATGCTTACGCTGTATTTACAAACAACGAAACTTAGTACACGTGTTCTAATACCAGTAAATCAAATCAAAAATTGTGCAAACGTTCGGCGCACTACACGAGCGAGGATGTCTGCATTGCGCATGCGCGGGTCAGTACTGCTCATTGATTGGCTGGGTCGGTCTACACTGTAATGTTTTACTCTTGTCATGGTGTCTAGCTACGTATCTCTCTGGGTGTTAGATAGCATTTTAGGCATAGCGAGACTTAACACTTCCATTCATATTTCACCCCAAAACCTCTCGGAACACAGCAGTTTCAGAGAAAAGCCAACATATTTTTCGATCTACACCTGACGCTGAATACGTGGTATTGTTGTGGAGCAATTCGTGATGTCGGGGTGACGGACAGACTGACACAAACCACAACTACAGTAACCCTCACTGCGCATCCGTGCCGAGGAACAACCTCAGGCCTAAAATTAGTGTGTTAGTGCCTATAACTTGCTTATGATATGTGCTGTGTACCATGATAATAGTTCATCAAAACAAAAATTACCAGTTTGTAAACAACAACAAAAACTGCCTGAAGCAATAAAAATATAGTGAATGTGATGCAGGGGTAATGGCTAAATAATTGTTTCAAACAGACATTCCTCGAGCACGTCATTTCCTTCACACAAGCCCTATATTGTCACCAATTTTACTTGAGTATATTTGTATTTATTGGTGTGAAGTGTGAGCACAATGATGAAGGGATTCTGCGAATGCAGTATTGTAAAAGTGGTTTGCATTGCGAAAATGATGAGGTAGCACACTCATGCTTCACAACAAAGAGGGCTTGTGTGGAGATAATGCAAATGAGCGAGCAATGTGTAAGCAATTATCACTTGTACTACTGTGTCTTGTCTCTGTGCATGTTATACCATCGATACACTATTCACGTTTTTTACTTCCTAAATTTTCCAACAAAAATACACGTACCATCTTGATCTCCCCACAGCCAGTCATGCCCACGCACTACCTCTGCATTGGGGAATATACCAACAGCCATAACCCTACGAGCTCCGAAACGAGAATGAAGTTTTACCCTGCGATAAAGAAAATAACTTACAAAAGAGCAGAGTAACTGTCGGACATTTTGAGGTTAGACCAAAATATTACAGCTAAAAAGCTCATTACTTATGTTCTTGGATTGTTTAGGCTCACTTTACAGTTCATCAGTAAAATTATTTAAATCCTGAATGAGAGAGAACCAGTGCAAGACTTAATAACAGGGCGCAAACAGCCCTTCACCGTTACACGAAGTAGCTTTTATAGGCGTAGAACCTACACGGCAAAGGTTATCGAACATGCAATGGGTAAGAAGGTCCTGTAGAAAAATTGATATTTCAACATTCACATCTGATATATCAGTCTAATCTGCATGGTAAAAATACATCTGTACCTAAAAATGGCTAAAATCGGATAATAAGCAATCACACTATTCAATGTATCCACTTTCGTATTCTCGGCGCACATGCGCAGCGAGGGTTACTGTACTTGGTTAGTGAGTGTGTCTGTCTATCCGTCTGTTACCACGTTTTCTGCTACTACACGCAACGAGACAACAAGCCAGTGATACCAACAGGTTCATCGCTACACTGGCTTCATTTTAAATCGTACAACCACTGCGTTCAATGGCATGAAAACCAAGTGAACAAGCAGTATAGATCGCACATGTGCAGTTCGCCGAGGGTGCTTTTCATTGTTGTTGTTGTTGCGTAAATTAGCTCAATTCAACACCTACAACGATAAAACTTTGAACACATATCACTAGTACCAAAATATAACGTTTGTAAACATCATCAAACACTCTCAGGCAACGAGAACTTGGCATATGTTAATTTTCCCCTTAAGTTCTTATCCCAAGTCCTCTAACAATTAATTAATAATCTTGAAAAAGAGACATAATTATAGGGAAAGTTAAAGAAAGCGATACATGAAGCATAGTTAACGAACAGATTTGAGCAAGCTGACACCCCTGACCTCATCAGATAATTCGAATATTTTTGCCTGGTGTGCTACTCTTTTAAACTCAATTTGAACTCCACAACAGTGTTGGTTACTCTGTAAAAAGCTATACATCCTGACATTGTAATGGTGTATAGACACGTACTTCACCTAGGCAACAATAATGGAGATTCTGGTGATGGCGTCGGGGATATCAGCAAGCTCCTTTCCCGGAGGAGTTGGGATATCTCAAGCTTTCTTATTTTTCTACGAAGTGCAGAAATGAAATGTCAGGTAGTTAGTTGGCCATGAAGTACCTCAAATTACGTATACCTTTATAAATCCTCAGAAAAACTTAAACACAGGAGGATCTGCCTGTCTCACAGAGGTTAGAGAAAGAGAAATTCACAATCATTTTACTGTGTGAATGAAAAGCAAAATGCCCGGGATATACACCGACCTACTACATACATCTCTGTGAAAGGCAAATACTCTTATAAGATAGAGAAAAATCTATTAGGATGTCATGGAAATGACTTAACATGCACGAATACCAAGTTTCATCTCCATGCCTGCTACTGCTAGCAAGTTTGAGGAGAAAAGAAGTAATTTTGGAATGCCTGAAGCTTTTTGTTGTCGTTTAAACAATAATATGTTGTCTTCATGGAAATGATGTAATATGTATGAGTACCAAGTTTCATCTCCATGCGAGCTACAGTTGGCATGGTTGAGGAGTGAAGAATTTTAAGTGTGGTTTAATACCTGGATTAATGAAAAGCACTAAAGTGCAAACCCTCGGCGGTAAACTAGCGAGTTGTAGCATCGCTGTATACTGGGCCATGCGTCATCGACGGAGCCAGTAACACGAGTCTCACCATAACACAGGGTAGTTGCATTAGCGGTTAGAGCAATAGCTCAGGTGTTTCAGAAGCTCTCATATTTGCTTTATTCAATCTATCCGCTCTTCTGTGTTTCAATGCTCTCGCCAGACGTTTTATAGATGGGAAAGCAAGGCCGCAACAACAAACTGCTCGCCACCTGAACTATTATGCTACATTGCGAACATACCTTGCTCAGCATGTTTATCGTTTCCATACGGAACAGAGATCAAAACTGACAGGTGGCCGTGGATCGTATATAAGCTTACAACCAACGTGGCATGCTCCGGCGATTAATTGACATGACGCATGCGCGCTATATAGTAGCTATAATGCCTGCAGGAGAGGGCGCGTGCGCGATCGCGACCGCGCGTCGGCTTTTTTTGCTTGTTTTCACGCCATATCTCTGGAACGCAGTCGTTTCGGGAAAATCGCCACATTAATATCAATCTTCTCGTCATTCACAACCCGTTAGTGCCACTCATTGGCCACCTCGTAGCCTGTAGTGCTAGAACTCGTGCGGACACACAGACAGACAGACAGACAGAACGACTACTGTAACCCTCGCTGCACATGCGCGCCGAGGGTTAATTACCTGGATTGGATACCAGGATATTCTAGGCTGGTGGTCAAAGTGATGGACCAAGTACGTTAGAGCACAGCCATGTAGAACATGGCACGCGCACTTGCCATCAGCAGTCACAGGCAGACGGCAGTGAACAGGCAGCTGGACACATACTCAGTCACTTGTTTCGTTCTGTTCCGTGAGATCACTGACCTAATCGATGTTATCTTCCCGCAGCTGTCTCCAATGGCTAACAAATGAGTCTTGACACCACCAAAGATCCGGCAGATCCAGCGGCAGTGGGCCGCAGCGGGGGGAGAAGGAGCGCTTGCAATCACAATGCCGACCGTGGCGAACGGGCTCCTGAATGCAGTAAGTCCAGTGGTACGGGACGAACTATGCACAGCATTCGTGAGGACAGGCACCGGGGAACGAGTGCAGACGACCGCAGCCGTTGCCAGAGAAGCTTCGGCATCTGCGCCGCTAGCTTCAACAGCGAGCACTGGTAAGGAGCTCACATCGTGGGTAGTCGTCGCAGCTAGGCGTGAAACGTGCGGTTCCGCAAGCCTCTGAGTGTACCTGGTCTTAGGCAGTTCACCTGCGCTGCCGGCCGGCCGGCACTGCACATGAAACTTAGCCTGCTTATTTCAGGCGCTTGGAAGAAATAGTCAGGTGACGTTAGCATCAACGACCCGTTCCCTCTGCAACAATAGTTGCAGTCCAATCAGATTGCAGAATGGCATGGAATGTAACGTCATAGTAATAGTTGTTGAAGGAGAGCCTCCTGACGTTTTTGTGAGCACCGTTAATACGGCAAAAGCTTGAGATAGTACCTTGTCGATTTTACTAGTGTGAGCCATTGCGGGGTTAGTAGTGTACCCCTTGTAACAGAACTCAGAGCGTTCCCTCGGCCCCACCCACTAATAAAGTGGAAAAGTTTTGTATTTTGTAACCACCACATTCAAAGGGTACGGGGTCGTTGGTGCTAACGTCACCTGACTATTTCTTTCTCGTGAAATGGGCTGGCTAGGCCAGACTACACGCAACTCTCACCGCTAAGCCGGTTTATGGAAGAGTCACACCTAGACACCCCTCCTATGCGGCACACACCTGCTACAGTCGCAGGCGTGACTCTGTCTCTGTCTGTTGTCACAGTGTCCCTGGGGACGATAACCCCAGCATCCACTCTGTCGGGTGTCAGTCATGGGCCATGCCAGGACACCGGCAGGTCGTACTGTCAATGCCATAAAATCATTTGCGACTCTGCCGGCATTGGTCACAGCCTCTAACAGCAGTCTGCTATCTGGCACAAGCAAATCTGGCACTCAAGTTGCATCCAGACAGGGGAGGTAACCTCCCGTCAGTGTGGAACCTCCTCGCACTTTTCAGTCAGCACGTTAGGGAGGAGAGAGCAGTGGGCAGACTACTGGGGCAGCTCCCACCGCTGCTTGCAGGTGACTGCCAGGTCAGCCCTATACACCGTATCCCCAAGCCCCATCAGCAAGGCAAATGTCGCCTTATTGTGGACCTCTCCTCCCCCATTGGGCTAGCGTTAACGTTGCAATCCCTGTTGAGCACTGCCACATGCACTACACCTCGGTATTAGAAGCAGTGGCAATGCATCCGCCAGCCGGGCATGGGAGCCATGGACCGCCATCAGCCATACGGAATGGCATGCAGATGGCCACTACCTGCTAGGCATTCAGTGGCAGAACGAGACATACGTGGACACAACCCTCTCATTCAGGTTGATATCGGCTCCCAAAATCTTCTTAGCATTCGCAGACAGGGTGGCGTGGATCCCCCGTGCCAGGGGGGTAGCATGGCAGCTCCACTATCCCGATGATTTCCTCTTTACAGGGCCTCCTGCCAACCAGTCATGCGAGAAGGTAGCTCTAGACACTGCAGAGAGCTGGGAGTGCCAGTAGCGACACACAAAAGCAGAGGGTGAAGCAACGCAGCAGAAATTCTTGGGAATTTGAGTGCACACCGAAAAAATTAGCCAGAGCTTATCGGATGACAAGCTGACTCGCATACTGGGAAGAGCGGAGCAGGAAGACAGCCTCGAGGAGAGAGTTGCAATCCCACATAGGTCACCTCAACCATGCAGTAATGGTGGTGTCGCCAGGCCGAACGTTCTTGCGACAGATGATAGACACCATGAAGATGGCAAAACACCTGAGGAACAATGACTTCAAGTCAGACCTGCTCTGGTGGGCATCCTTCTTGCCCAGGAGGAAGGGACGGTCAATAATGCCCCCTGAGGCCCCCTCACACATCATCACCTCTGACGCCTCAGGGACATGGAGTTGTGGGGCAGTGACAGACACTGGCCAGTGGTTCCAGGTGAAGTAGCCAAAACCCAGACCAGCAGTCAGCATCGCAGCCAAGGAGCTGGTCATCTGGGGGCAACAGTGGAAGAAGTGAGGGGTGTTGGTCAGATCAGACAACATGGCAGTCATCCACTGCACTGTCTTGTGGCAGGAACGGCCAAGAGACCCTCTTCTAATGCACCTCTTGCGCTGCCTACACTTTTTCACAGCTACTCATCAGATAGGCATCGAGACCAGGCATGTGCCTGGTGTGCATAATACTGCGGCGGATGCACTGTCTCGTGATAGGATAAGGACCTTTTTTGATGTCAGATCCCATCTCC